CTAGATGAGAGACCTGTTTTCTGATCAAGGTGAAAAGAATCTAGTACAGCACCTAATTTGTACCGAGTTGTACAGAAAATAGTTGCTGATCCTGAAGTTCAAGAACTTGTCATCTCCTGCTTGGAATTGGAATAGAAGTGCTGTGGGAAAGTAATTAAGCTACATTCCAGACTACTTGAGGTTTTAGGTGCTTGGGAAGCCTTGAAAAACTCCAACTCCTCATGCAGTGCTATCAGCATTCAAAAGGTGCTGCTACAGTTCTATATCCCTACTGAGATTTGCAAAACTGGCAGTGTTGTGCCACAGACCACTGTCTCACTGCTGCAGAGGGCTGGACATGACTCTGCCCATCTTCCACAGTGATGCTAATTCCAAGCACTCTGGTGCTCCAGGACACATCAGGAGGAAGAATGGGGTGTACAAACCTGTTCTTACAAGTAACCCTGATCTCCAGAGAGGCAGCTGCCCTTCTATCTAAGTAAAACTACAGTTACACCACTTTAAGCTGATAGCAAGACTCCACACTCACTTAAGTAAGCATTTATTAGAGAATCTTTTAACATGAAATTATACAAATAAAGTTTGTATAAACACAAGTCCACATTGTGTCATAACATGAATGGCAAAAAGAAAGTAAAAACCATAAAAGAAAACTAGTTGGCCGCTATGTACAGTTGGACACAGTTGTGTCATACACTAAAAGTCTTTTACAAAATAGTCATTTCCTCTCATGAAGACCACCCTCCATTCACTCACGATGCGTTGCAAGATGGCTTTTTGTCGCAGTATCTCTACCTAAAAAATCAAGACAAAATGCATGTCAGATCTGTGACAGTTACTACAGGATTGTTAAAAGGTCCATTTTCATGAACTGCTTTAAGTCTTCTATATATTCCTTTCTTCACTGTTAAAGATCATATGCATATTTATTAAGGTAACACAAGAGGTTTGTTTAGTTGCCCATCAGTAATTTATTTTCCCGAATATTCAGCCCATCTAGGAGGCTGCTCCAAAACAACCATCCAATTTAAGACAAGTAAGCAGGCTCTGGATCACTTTGTTTTCCATTGGAAATACTGCCAAAAGGCTTTCCGATTATTTGTTTATACAGCTAAATGACTTATGTGCAACATAAGTCAGGTCACTTTAGCTCACAGTCCATATGCATATGATCTTTAATGTTTATCCAGATTTAAAAGTTCGTTTTGGTTTGCAGATTTCACTATTAGCTATAAAAAGAAAAAAGCAAGCATTAAAATCTTAAAGAATGCACATTTAAAATGAGGTTCCACAATTGAAATACAACACTAAACAGAAGACCAAATGATTAAGCTGTAAAGGCATTTATGTACTTTAACTCCTGTAAAAAACCATTTAAGTTAAAGACACTTAATCTCCAAAAAAGATTAAAAAAAGAAGCCAAAGTCTGAAGTTTTCCACTTTAATCTTTACGCTGGTACATGAAGTTGGAAGAGACCATACCACAGGACAGCGTTTTCTGGTGTATGCCTTGCGCTCTGCCTGCAACGTGCGACCCCAGAGATAGACGTGGTCAGGGTGACACACGGCCTGCAATGAAGTTCCCGCTGGCGGGTACAAACAAGGTATAATGTCAGAGTTAGAAGACAACATTCTTGTTTTCCTTAAGTTGTACCCATTTCAGTACTTTACCTGTTAATACTTCTAATAAGTTTAATTATTCCTCTAGACCACCTGGTACACAACGCAAACCAGAAAAACTCTTATGTTTTTCTGAAGTACTAAAGAAGATAAAGTCACGCTTTTACAAAGTTAAAGATCTATAGACACGTAGGCAAAGCTGGTTTTAAAAAAAAAGTATTTTTTAAGTTAACAAAAGCTTAATTAAAGGAAAAGTCATGCTAGGCAAGGTTTTACTCTTCGTTTGTCTATTGATCTTTAAATTAGATTAGACGTAGTTGGAGTGGAGCTTGCGCTCCTGTACACACCTGTTTGTCAGGCACTAGGTACTGCCTTAGTAGGGCTGGTAGTTGTTTTGGTGGTTGCCGCCGCCACGGGACGCCTTCCCATATGTGCTTTGCTGGCCTGGAGGTAGCATGTGGGGAAAAACAGAACCCACAAGCGTTAACACCAGCCTCAGAGGGAAGCTTCACACACAGCAGCACACCAAGGGATCTCATCTTTAGAGCCATGGGCTGACTAAGAGCAAAGTTGCTCTTCTTATCAGGAGCAAGGGCAAAACCACTCACCGCTGTAATCCGTGTATCCCGGCCCATATCCATAGTTGGGATAGTTGTACCCAGAGTAGTCGTAGCCTCCATAGCCACTGTAGCTCTGATCACTGTAAGTGCTATTGTAATTCCCATAGCCTTGATCATAATAGTTATTAAATCCTTGGTTCCAGTTTTGTCCCTGACCTGAAACCAAGCATAGCAAGTGTAAGCTTCAAAACTTTTTTCACTCCTCTCCTGTGCCCCTTTATCTAACTTTCTGGACATGAGAATAATCCAGTTGCCTGAGTACCAAGTGACACCAAAGGACAAGCCTTACTGTGTGGTGCGAGTTGTGGCTGCTTGACCTTTATAGATTGAGATGCATTAACCTGTATAGTACCAGCTGATCCTTCTGATCTATTTGAAAGTGCAGCAAAGTGACCACCCCACTCCTTAGCAAACAGCTCCTGCTTTTCTCCCACAGGCCAATTAGATGTATCACTTTAAAGTGAAATTGCAACTGCTGGTTACACTGTCCACTAAGGGTGCACCCTACACCCACCTTGCCCCTTTACCACTTGAATGCAAGCAGATCAAGAGGAGGCTCCTCAGCTTCAACAAGCAACCATAACCAACAAAACACCACTTACTCACAGGCTACTTTACACATTTGATTTAAACATGAGATCTGCACACAGCCTGCAACCTGGAATATCTGCAAACACCTGAATGTTTGGTTAAGTACTTAGATTAACAGAACCACTGAAAATACTCACCCCGTCCACGCCCCCTTCCACCTCCACGTCCACCAGAAGAATTGCTTTTCCCTCCTTTCTGCTGCTGCTGTTGCTGCCTGTACACCTCTTTGGGCTGTGCTACTTTGATTTCACACTGTAAGGACAGAAATCCTTTAACTTACTACAAATTCCACGAGCACTTTGTGAGCTGCTTTCACAGAAGCCTACAAAGACAGATTTCACATACTAAGAACAAGAGTTTTCCCACCTTGCCTGAACCAATCTGGTGGTATCTGCTCTCTAACAACTTCTTTACTGGCTCTTCATCTGTATACGTGATAAAACAGAAGCCCCTCCTTTCATTCGTCTTTGTGTCCATGGGAAGCTCAATGTTTTCAATCTGAAATCAAAATGAACATAAACAATGCGTAAAATCTGTAAGCAACCTTTTTATGCCACCAGAACTATCTGGCAGTGCAGAATCGATATGCTGACTACTTCTGGCAGCTATAAATCAGACTATTACAATTTTAAGAAATCATTAATATATAGATTCAACTAGCTCTAGTTTTGGCCAACTACCACCTCACAAATCCTTTCTTAAGAAAGAGGCCAGACTACACTTGAGAATTGGAGCGCTCTTATATGCCAATATACTATACCTCGCCAAAAGCACCAAAGTACTCCTTAATCTGTTCTTCAGATGTATCTGGACTCAGCCCACCAACAAACACTTTTTTGGGTGGCTCCTTCCCTTTCAGCGCTTTTGCCCTTTTAGGATCTATTAACTTGCCATCCAGTTTGTGTTCCTTCAGTTCCAACACCTAAAAAGCAGAGAAAAGAACAAAGTCTCAGATCCCTACAGCTACACAAGCTGGCTCCGTGCCATCGGACCACAAGAACAGCACCCACCTTCTCCACGCTGGCAGCATCCTTGAAGAGCACGAACCCAAACCCCCTCGACCTTCCAGTGACCGGGTCTGTTTTGATTGTGCAATCCACGACCTCGCCAAACCGCGAGAGATACTCTGTCAGGTCCTTCTTGCTGGTGTCCCAGCTGAGGCCCCCGATGAACATTTTCCTGGAGGGCACGGAAGGCGTGCGGATCCGGGTGAGGGAACGCCGGGGAGCCCCCCCGCGCCCCCGCCGGTGACGTCACGGCCCGCTCGGCCCCCCCGCGCGCGTCCCCGCCCCGCGGAAACTGGGTCACCCGCCCGCCACACAAAGGCGGGCGCGGCCGCGGCGCGGGAAGGGAAGGCCGCGCTGCCCCCGGCCACCGAGCCGCCCCCCCGAGCCGCAGCGCGGGCGGCGGAGATGGATGCGCGACTCCGCCGCACCTCCCCCCCCCCACCACCACGTCCCCGGCCCTACCCGTCGTCCTGCTGGTTCTTGCTCGCGTTGATCTTGGAGCCCTCGGCGAACTCCTCCTGGCCGCCGCTCATCTCTGTCGCGTCCTCCATGGCGAGGCGAGGGCGGCGGGGGTGCTCGTGCGAGCGGCGGAGACAGCGGAGACCTGCGCCCGGCAGAAAATGGCGGCGGAAGAGATCCGGGCACCGCCTGCGCCTCTTTTATATAGCCGTGCCGGCAGCCAATCAGCGCCGCCCTGCCGCCCGGCTCCGCAGCGCCCCCGGCGGCTCGCGGCGGCGCTGCAGCAGCCGCCCTGCGGCCGCCATCGCGCGGGCTGGGCCGGGCCGGGCCGGTGCCGCGGCTCCGGGCGGGCTCGGGCACCGCCGCACCGGGCACCGCGACGGGCGGGGGCGGGGCCGAGCGGGCCGGCCGGCGGTGGGTTGTAATTCGTAACCCAAAAACCCCGTTCGGGCGGCGGCGGCGGGGAAGGGCGGGGCGGGCGCTCCGTGGGCGGGCGCAGCCGGCGCGGCGCTCCCCGCCGCCGCCGCGCGTCCCCGGTGCGCCCCACGTGCCGCCGCCGCCATGGGCGTGCTGCCGGTGCCGGCGGAGGTGCGCGCCATCCTGCTGGACATCGAGGGCACCACCACCCCCATCGCCTTCGTCCAGGTGAGAGCCGGTGGCCGCCGGCACCGCGGGGGGCTCCGGTAGCATCGCAGCTCCCGTCGTGACCCCCAGCCCTGGCGTCGCGGGGGGCTCCCGTAGCATCGCCCTTCCTACCGTGACCTCCCCGGCCCCGGCAGCTCGCCTCAAGGCAGGCCGAGGTGCCGCCGGGAACGAAAGCCGTGACCCATTTTCCGCGTTTTTCCGAATAATGCTCGCGAGCAAGCGCGCCTTGTTTTGCCGATCGGCCGCCGCTGTGGTGGGCTGGGGGCAGGTCACTACCGCGGAGATTCGGGCAGCTCGGGGATTTGTTTCCTGGATGTAGGGCATTGGGGTGCTCGCAGCCTCACCCGGGAAAAGCCCTCGAGCATCGCCGATCCTGTGATGGCTGGAGCTGCAGCACCGCACCCGGCTCTGCGGAGACGCTTCTTGGCCTTAATTTGAGTAATGCACAGTTTGCAGTAATCGGTAATTCTCGGGGTGATCCGCTGCCTTTTCCCTTGGGGAGGCTGGTACAGCCAGGCGCCCCCGGTGTGGGAGGGCAGCGCAGGGGACAGACAGACACACCGAGCGTTCGCGACAGGGACTGGAGTGGCACCGACGCACGAGTGGCTTCCCTTGCCTAGGAAAAAGCTTAAGACTGCTGGAAGTGCTGGTTCAGGTGCAGAACCGGGGGCACTGGGAAGTCTGCGAGTCACAGGCGCTCGGAGAACCGCAAATTGTCATAGCAGGGGTCCCTCCTCTCCGGGAGGCTTTGCTTCGCAGGAGGGAGCGGCTTGCTAAAACAGCGAACAGATGTATCCCTTCTCCTGCCCTAACTTGGATTTCTCTGTGAGACATTATAGCTTTTGGTGGATCTTTGCAGCCAGTGGCGCACAAAGGTGCTTTGTGACCCACATGGCAGGTGAAGGCTCCTGCCTGGCTTTCTAGAGCCTTCTGCTAACACAGCTTAACAGATGAACAGCATGACCTACATCTTTCCTGTCCATGTTCTTCCAGTGCTCTTGAAGAAACTCCAGGCCTAAAATGGCATTATAGCTTCCTCCCTCCCCTCAATATCTTTCAATTCAAACAGTTTGGACAGATCAGGTTTCTTACTAAACATCTAACAGAGCAACTAAGTTGTTTCTGTCCACCTTGAAGCCGTTTTGCAGTTGTGCAAACACATGCCATGCACCTGAGACTCTGGGCTTCCACCCAAAGTCTTTCTGTTGCAGAGAGGCCAAATGAGTTTTGATTCTCAATAAAATTCAGTTTGATGAAAACCCTGAAAATGCTTGGAACAAGTTATTTCATCTGGTCTTTCAGTTAACCTCTATTTGCCTTTGAAAGATCCAACTGATGGTTCAGTGGACACTTTATTCTTCAATATTAAACAATTTTACTTAATTCTTTCTCTAATGTTAGAATGACTGAATCTGCAAAGTAAGGAAATAGGATGAGTCAGTTGATGAGTGGATTAAGGAAAGCTGTCAGAAAAGAGAGTATTTGGAGTCTTTCTTCCACACAGATTCCTGGCCTATTAAACTTAGTACATCGTTGACTGGGATCCATAAAACATTTGTCCCATTAGCTGTCCACTACTCCAGCTGTCACATGGGTGTCCGCTCTTAGTTCACAGACCTATGCACTTGCCAGTGGACCAAGATTTTTACCCTTTTAAAGTCCCCCAAATCATAGAATCCACTGGTCTTTCAGAGTCATTTTGGGAGTTTTTCTTAGCCAGCACAAGAGTATGAAACACTGCTTTTGAAAAGCAATCGTGTCCTTTTGACATCTGAGTTGTAAAGGAGGTTAAACCAAGCCAGCAGGTCAGCTGCATTTCCCAGTGGATTCTCTTTCATTTCCTCCATGATTTAAAAGATAGTTTGAAAGTAAAGGACATGAGAGTAACTGGGGGCATTACAAGGCTTTTGATTTCCCTAGGCAAGTTTGTGGTAATTCTTGAAGCAATTTGCATTCTTTTAAAAATATACAGCATGGAAAATACAGTATTAGAGCAATAGAAAATCCTGCAGTTCTGCCACCACATCACAATCTCAGGACCACTGCTTTCTTAATTAAGTAACAAACTAAAGATGACATAGAACAAGGAACAAGAAACTATGGGCCATTTTTTGAGGAGAGGTGAGTTTAGGTTAGTTTTTTTCCCAATTAAGAAAAGCTCAGTTCTCTACCCAGAGGAAGGACTTCCCTGCCCTTCTCCTTGACCTGAGGCTTTTACTGTACCCGGAGATGCACGGTGGCTGCTTGTGGCTTCTGACTCATGAAACATCATTAATGAGAGCAATTTGTAATTATTTCTGGTTGCTCTTGAGATCTCGGTGAAGGTTTGTAATTTTCCTGTGGCGCTTTTCCCAAACCCCGTTTAATTTCATTTGCAAGACTGTCCTGTGGAGTTCGGTGTCACCAGACCAGGCTTTTAATTTTAAAAGGTCCTCTAGCTTTGGTGAGAGGTTGAGACAGAATGACCTTTTCTTGGACAAGTGCCCCATCAAGAATACAATAGCATAACTTATCTGTTCAGAGTTGCCAGCCTTGTACTCCTCAGCTACTGGGAATGTGGGGTCACAGGTGCCACTTGAGACATTTTTTGGCAAGCCCAGGAAAAGTTATCACCTGCCTTTCCATCACAGGCTATAAGACTTTCAGCTACATAAACGTTTGTGTAAAAAAATCCACCTGAACTGATCCTGGCCCAAGACTGGCTCAGTCCTGTGCCCAGGCGGACACCCTTGGCAGGAATCTTCACCAGCTACAGCACTGTAGGGGAAGCTTAAGTTTGGGGAAATAACTGTACAAAGCAGCATGTGCAAACGTTTCCTTTAAAAGCCAGCCAGCCTTACCTCTGCCAGGTTAAAGGAGCAGCCTCTTTTTCTGCCAGGAGACCTTGTTTCCTTACATCAAAGACAACGTGAAGGAGTACCTGCGTGCTCACTGGGAGGAGGAGGAGTGCCAGCGGGATGTCGGACTTCTGAGGAAACAGGTTAAGTAACAGAGTAATTCCCTGTCTCTGCATTTTCATAGCATGCCTGAGGCGTCAGGCCACTTGGACTCTCCCGGTCACCCCACATATTTCCCTATCTCTTTGCCCTCATCCATGTTGCCTTGAAGGTTGGATTCTCCCCCATCCAAAGCCTGGGGTTGGACTTGGCAGGCAGCAGCTTCCCTCAGCTCACCTTGGTCTTCACAGCCCTGGGCAGCTGTTGAGCCAAGACTTTCCAGCTTTTTGCCTGCACTGTGCCCTTCTCTTGTTGAATACAAACCTCTTTTGGGAAGCAGCACAGGGGGATGGCAGAGCACTTGTTCCACACAGAGCTGTAGATGCTGCCTCTGTACAGGGAACACAGCATCAATTTGAAACTTGTGGCTGAAGCCAACACATGCATTTGCTTCTTTGCCTTAATTACAGTAATTAAATACTTAATCAAGCATAGTTCTCATTAGAGTATTTACAATACAGCTACAGTAATGCTAATTGTTTGGTTTGGAAAGTACAATCCAAGCAAGTATTTCTAAACTTGTCTCAATTTTCTATTGAGAAAAGCATTCAGAAAGCAATGATGTAACCCCTCGTATGAAGAGCAGTTCAAGCAGTGTCCTGCACGGGGGTGCATGGAGGTGTGGAAATTGCTCCACCTCTTCCCTCTCCTCTTTTTATCATGGATGATTGCACAGAATCACAGAGTATTCTGAGTTGGAGGGCACCTGCAAGGGTCAGCAAGCCCAACTCTTTAGTGAACGGCCTGTACAGGGATCAAACCCACAAGCCTGGCATGGTTAACACCGTGCTCTTTGCCACTTTGCAGGCCCAGGAGGACTCCAGCCTGGACGGGGCCGTGCCGATCCCTTTGGAGAGCGGCAGCGGGGAAGAGGAGCTGGAGCGCATCATCCAGGCCATTGTGGACAACGTGCACTGGCAGATGTCCCTGGACAGGAAGACCACGGCACTGAAGCAGCTGCAGGGCCACATGTGGAGGGCAGCCTATGCCACCGGGCACGTCAAAGGAGAGTGAGTAATTGTGTGAGTAGTTGTGTGAGGGGCATCTTTCCTAAAAGTGTATTAACAGAAGAGCTGCATGAGCTATTCCTGGGAACCCCACTTAAAAATACAAGTAGCATCACTAGCTCAGCAGATAAGTCAATATTTGAGAGATTTCTTGGTAAACCAATTGTCTAAGGCACAAGTATGAGCTTCTTACAGTTCTCCATCTTGCATTTTCTATCCCCAAATTGCACTCATATTTTAGAAGAAGTATAAACAAGCCAGGGTTGCAGGGTCAGACCCTTTCAGTTGTTTCCTCCTCCTTTGTCTTTTACCTGTGTGTTTCCTGCCTTTCCACTTCTTTTTGTCTTCAGATTCCACTTTATGTTTCAGCCACAACACAGGGGTGCATAAGTAAGGACAACTGAAATTAAGCCTGATCTTATTTAAGAGATACTTGGTTAAATTGTGCATTTTGGGTCTCTAAGTAAGTAAAATAAGCCCATAAATTCACAAAGCATTTTGTCAAATGAGGAGCAAGGAAGAAGAAAATGAGCTCACAGAAAAATGTAAACATCCACCAGAGAAAGTAACAAAACCCAAAAACAAGTCAAGAGAGACACATATTCTGTTGGTTTTGTTTTTAAAAACAAGGCTAAATTGTTTTACAGTGACTCAAAAACTGGAGAAAGCTGCCTGATTAGCTGCATTCAAGGAGTGAGATCTCTAAAATCTTGCCCAGCTCTTCATTACCTGCCACTGGAAGAGACCTTCTGGTTCTGAGCCCTGAGCAGATTGAAAATGAAATCCCCTTGCAAACTAATGGAACAAAACTAAGTGTCACAGTGCCTGGCTAATGATGTCCCTCCAGGTGCCTCTGGGTTTGCCCTTACCTGCTGCCCTGTTTTACTCCAGAATCTTCGAGGACGTTGTTCCAGCCATCCGGAAGTGGCGGGAAGCAGGGATGAAGGTCTATATCTACTCTTCAGGCAGCGTCGAAGCCCAGAAGCTTCTGTTTGGATACTCTACAGAAGGTGATATCCTAGAGGTAGATAACCTTACCACCTTCCTTACAGCTTCTCCCCCTGCAGAGCACTCCCTTCCCACATCTGCCATTGCTGTAACACTTTGTGGATGAATTCTGTGTCAGGGAGGTGGGGCAGTGGGTTTGATCCATGGGAATTCAGCTCAAACAATTGACTGTGAGAGCATGGCTGCACCAACACCTTGTTGCTGTGGCAGAAAGGGAGGGAGGGAGGTTTATCCCTGCTCTTCAGGTGGCACTCAGCAATGGCCTGTGCTTCTCTCTCTTTCAGCTCTTTGATGGCCACTTTGATACCAAAATAGGCCCCAAGGTAGAAAGTGAGAGCTACAGGAGGATTGCAGCCAGTATTGGGTGTGCCACCAACAACATCCTCTTCCTGACAGATGTCCCTCGAGGTACGTGACCTGCCACTCCTACTGCCTCTCACCTGTGCAGGAAAGGCAGGTGCTCTTCAGAGGAGTGCTGCTGCCTTCTCACAAGCACACAGAAATGCTTCAGCACCTTCCCTGTAGCTGCTGCCATCTTCCTTTACACACCCGGGCTTGCACACAGCAGTGCGATGTCCGTGTGCAGCACTGCAATGAGGGAAAATAGGTCAAGTAGAAAATCTGCCTTTGCACTAGCCAGGAAGGAGAGAGTGCTGAAGCAGAGCTGAAGCTCGCCCCTTTACAAACAGGGTCAGTGGTTTGGCCAGTGCTCAGGGGAAATGATGGTGTTTTCTGTGTTGCTACGTGGCTGGTTCTTTGCGCTGCTTATGGTTAGGTTGTGTTCAGCAGCAGGGAAACACAGCTTCAGGTTGCCAACACTTGACCCATGGAAAGCCAGGCTTGAGAAGCTAACTTAATTTCCTGCTGTAGCTGGAAACATCTTTCTGGCAGAAATAGCACTGGGTCTCAGTCTGAGCCAGCTCAGTCCCCCAGAGTTAGTCCTTACCTTCTTCCCAGCCTTGGCAGCAGAGCTGGTGGGAGCTTGTAGTTCCCTGCACCATCTTCCAATGGCCTTTTGTGCTCAGGGAGCAAAAAGAAGCTTGTGAGAAGTGACTGGGGGAGGGGGCTGTTTGACTCACAAATGCCACAGGCTGACCACAGCCTCATGACAGGAATCGAGCTGATGGTGTGTCCTGCCTGCAAGGAGCCTTGGACAGCCATCAGCTGGCAGAGGGGAGGGGATGGTGAGTTAGCCAGCTCCTGTCCATTTCTGCAGCTACAGCCATCCACAGCAGGTCTGCCAGGAGCTGCTTCCTC